CCAACAGAATGCAGAAATCATAGGACAATATCATTAATATGACATGCAAGTAATATTTTACTAAAAGTAATTTAAAAATGGCTGCAATAGTACATTGACAGGAAACTGCCAAAAGTCCAATCTTGATTCAAAGGAGAATGTGGAATGAGGGATATCATTGCTGAGGTCAGATGGATCTTGGTTGAAAGAGAATACCAAAAAGATGATTACCTGTGTTTGATTGACTGACTACACAAAGGCTTTTGACAGTGTGAATCATGACGAGCTATGGACAACATGGAGGAGAATGAGTATTCTGGAACTCTTAAATTGTGCTTATGAGGAACCTGCACATAGACCAAAAGGTCATTGTTCAAACAGAACAAGGGAACAATGAATGGTCTAAAATTAGGAAAGGTGTACACCAGGGTTGTATTCTTTCACCTTACTTATTCAATCTGTATGCTGATTGAGAAACTGAGTTATATGAAGAACATGTCATCAAAATTGGAGGAAGACTAACAACCTGCGATATGCAGATGACACAGCCTTGCTTGCTGAAAGTGAAGAGGAGAGTAGAAGAACTAGATGGTGATGAGGGATACAACAGAAGGTCCCTGTTAGAATGGGAGAAAAATGTACAACAAAACTCAAATTCCAACAAGAGATCAGATTTACTGGTCTGATAGACACTGGAGGAACCCCTGAGAGTATTTCCCCAAGTCAGCCTTCTAATGTGGAACTGAGGCCATCTTGCAACTAAATAATAGACTGCCCTATAAAATAATCAATACCACCTGTGAGGAAGGTGCTTCTTAGAACCACCAACTAGATGAGATCAAAAGGGCAACATTTGCCAAAAGCAAAGATGAGAAGATAGGGAGGGGCAGGGAAACCAGACAAAATGGAGACAGGGAACCAAGAATGGAAATGGGAACAGTGCTGACACATTGCAACATTGCAGACTACAACTAACATCATGGAACAACTTTTGCACCAACTATTGAATGGAAAACTAACTTGCTTTATAAATTTATCTAAAACACAATACAGTGTTTAAAATAAAGTCTATCTTAGTGGGGAAGCACAGCTGAAACCTGTTTAGCATCGTATCATGCAAGCCTCCACTGACAGACAGGTGGGGACTGCATGGGGGAGCACTAACTAGGAATTCAGTCTGGATTTCATACTAAAACAGATGAGGTAGAAAGACCTGGCAATCTACTTCCCCCACAAAAAATCAGCCAATGAAAACCCTAT